GGGGGGGGGGGGGGGGGGAGGTGGTGGGAATAAAACGCCCCAGCCTCAGCAGGGCTGCCATGGTTGAGAAACACTGCTGTATACTCTCTTCACCCCACCCCTCACCAAGCAACAAGAAAGATAACAAGGGATAACCTGGGCACAATATACAGCAAGGCTGCATTGTCCAATATTATGATTTCCTTGTAGTTTCTTGGGTTCCCCATGTGAGACACCAGGGAAACCAGGAACCTGAGCATGGCTACAACTTTGACCCTTCAGCAAGCTCAAAACATCTTCTCCATGTTAAAAGAAAGGAGTTGCCTTTCCTGCTGCATAGTACAGGGAGGCAGGAAGCAGAGAACAAGAGAAGGAAGCAGACCAGATGAGGAAAGAATACTACGTGAGAGGAGGAAGAGCAAGGACTACATTGGGTAAGTGGGGAGAGTGCTGGAAGAAGGGTTCTGGAGGACATCTTCTCCAAAGTATCCTCAATCTTGGCAATACTGCTGGCAACAGGTGCTTCACCAACACTAAATAAGAGGCAAGGAATAGTAACCATTCCAAAGTGCTTCCATTCCAGGGCCATCCTCCTTCTCTGCTTCCAGCTGAGCAAAACCAAAAGGCCACCTAGCTATTGGGCTTAACTCAAACATACTGTCCCTTACATTTCTCAATCTCCATGATTTCGCTGGGGTAGACCTCAATCTCTACCTTTCCGTCAGCTTCATTTTTGTCAAGCCATCGGTTGCATGGGAAGTTGTACAGCTTGCCGTGGATAGGGATGGTAATCTGAACACCACCAAGGTGCCAGCCTGCATGGAGGCCCACATTGTCATGCCCGATTAGAATCCGATGGATCTTAAGAAAGGAAAGTGGAAGAAAAGCAGGAAAGAACGGTATGTATATCTTCTTAAAGCATGACTGCTCTAGTGATATGTAAAGGACATTTGGGTTGGTAAAGCAAGCAGTCTTACAGGATTTCATCACTGCAGAAGCATTTCATGCTAGTCATGGGCTAAAGATCTTTAGTCTGCAGAAAATTCCTGCCACTGCTCGTCCTCTTGTGATTCCTAATTTATAGTAGTTTCATGGTGACTTCTGATTCCAACTACTTGAAGTGGAAGTTTAAGCAGCACAGAAAGAACAGTGCTATTATCTTCTCCTCTCTCTCTCTTTTTGTTCTGGTCCTACAATGTACCTGGGTGTGTAAACATTTATACCTTTCAGCCTTCAGTATGCCAACACAGAAGCAGGTAAACTGTTGTTGCCCAGGTCCACACTTACAGATGCTATAGTGGGCTGGGCACTTTCATGCTAAGCTTGTTTTAGATCTGCTTTGAACCTTCATGCATTTTCTACCTCAGAAGGACCAAACTGGCCTCTAGAATGAGGGTGGCTTCCATACCCCCAAAACAAGGGGATACAGGCATCATGTACTCCTGTGTATATAGACTGCCAAAATCTCCTTTAACTATCAGTTCTTTCCAATTTGTTTACAAATGCCTAGATTTTGGGATAAACAGTGAGGTGACCAAGTTTCCTCTGATAGATTTTGGCTTATAAAATAAAATAAAATTTTTAAATACCCTACAAAGAGCTCCAAAAGGATGTCTCCAAACTAAATAGGCTTTAAAATGGCTTTATAACATCATAATGATATGACAGTTTCTGCTATAAAAAGTCCAAATAACACACTTATATTAATAGAAGCCCAAGTTGGTTGTGGCCAAACAGGAAACAACATACTTAATTTGGTTAATAATATAACACATTTTCTGAATTCAGACAATACATGGAATCATAAACTAACCAACCATCTGATTCTCCTAACAGATTAAATCACCTAAAAAAAAAAATCTAACCAAAGTTAAAACTAGCCAACTTTAGATACGCAAATGCAATTGCTAGGTCTTTAACTAACACAATAAAGCATGTTCTGTGACTCCAGCCATTGTGCTGGGTTCCAGGGTAGAATAATTCAAAGCACAAAGAAACTGAAATACAACTGCGAATATAATAATACCATTACAATATATAATGTACAGTATATAAATCTGTGGTGAGATCACACATGGAATATTCTGTACAGTTTAATCACCACACATCTGAGAAAGAATATTATTATTAGATGATTACAAGAGCTCTCTTGTGAAAATAGACTACACTGATGGGGGCTTAGATTGAAGGGAGACAAGAGGAGATCTGATAAACTTACTCAAATTAATGCACAGCATGGAAAAAATGGCCAGTATTAAATATATGTAAAGTCCCATCTTGCAGGTGGAATGTTCTTCTGGAGAACTTTGAAACATGCTACTTTTCTCCCAGATTGCACCAAATTGCCATTCCAGAGATGATCTGAAAACTTCCCTGGAGTACGTCACCCAGAACAAGAATTGGTTTTAGTGTTCCAGAATGGAACATTTTGTATACACCTAGTCAGATGCTTTAATCCCTCTTTCATCATATTAGAACCTGGAGTAATCCTTTAGAACAAATGTGGGGAAATTCAGAACAAAATAAAAGAAAGAACTTCTTCAATCGTGTATACGAAGCTATGACAGCCACTAGTTTTGATGGTTTTCAAGGGAACTAAAGAAAGGGTCCAAGTCTTAAGGGCAGGCTACCAATGGCGATTAGAAAAGAATTCCTGCTCTCCTGTCAATGTCAGTGGGTCTTCTGAAAGCATCTGGTTGACCTCTGTGAGACACAGAATGCAGTATTAGGTAGGCCATTAGCCCGATCCAACTTCAGGTCTCTTCCTGTATTCTTATGAAAGTCTGAATATTATTTCATTACATTTTATTTGATTGTAATATGATAGTAAAATTCAATTCAGATGGGATATGATATGAAATTTGAAAAACTGTGACAGTGAAAAAAAGCAGTCTTAAAAAGCCATTTTCTATTTTAAAATATGCAGTCAGTTCTTACTCTGCATCATAATTTCAGGTCTTTCTTACCTTCCCAATGTCCATTGTATCAAGAGTAAAGATGTCTATCCGGCTACGTTCAAAGTAATTGCCTAAGTCATTATCAGAAACCAGGAGGAATTCCTTTTTGGTGTCTGCTTTTTCGCCATACAGCTTGATCAAAACCTTTGAATCTGAGCTGGCTCCTGGAACATCTCCTGTCTTTATACTGATGTGATAACTGATATCTGTGAATATATTAACATTTGTACCCAACAGACATGACAATAAGCTGTAAAATTTTGAGTCTTTTCTTCAGGGATGATCAAAGCAGAGAAAAATGAAAATTGGGAGAACTGAAAAAATCATAAATGAAACTCAACACTGAGGAAAAGGATACTCAAACTGTAACACCACTACTCTTTAGATGAGCAAATGATGAAAGAAAAATTAATTATGTAATTTAGGTAACATTATGAAACTTTTCCCATATGTTTGCTATTAGCTGGATTCACTTCAAAGGTGGTGGGTTTGGTTTGGTCCGGTTTGGTTTGGGTTTTTGAAGAGACAGGATGTCTGTAGCTATCCAGGCTCCTGAAAGGAGAATATTCTTTCCAGTGCTGATGAATGATGCAGTTCTATAAAGCAAAGTAGAGAACTGATAGATTCCCAGAGGCTGCTAAAGCACAATTCCCAAGAGATCTGGTTTGCATGGCCAAATCAGTGAAGGATGCTGGGAGTCCTAGTTCAGTGATATCTAGAGACTCATTTGCTCCCTATTCTTGTTATAAAAGAAGCAGAAAGCCTATGTGGTTGAGAATCCTAGTGCAAGAAGAAACTATAAGGGAACAAAAGAATTCTACCAGTCCTACTTGGAATGAATTGAATTGTTTTGTTCCCAGTATATCCATAGTGGGATAAATGCTAGCAGAAATCATGTCCAGCTAGTATTAATCTTCCCCTTAACAAAAATCTGACTTACTTTTTAGAATGTAAGAAAATCACAAGATCATTCCAAGACACTCTGAAAGAAGAAGACTGCTTAGAGCACCATAAAACATCGAGCAAGGGATATTTAGTTGATGCACTCTGAACTAATTCTGGGAAAAGGTTAATACACCTTATCTCACTACACATTATTTCCCTGCTTTTGTCAATCAACATGCTGTCCCCCCAGAAAAGTTAGGGGTACTAACTAGATTCAGACTGAAAGCTGACCCACCTGGAATTTACTACTGTAGCTAGATATGTTGTCTGTGGCACATTCAAAGACTAACTTTCCAAACTAAACTCTGGAACTATCAGGCTGGATGTGGTTCCTGTTTTACAATTCTTTTCTTAATGACTTCTCACAGTTGGAATTTATTTCTCAGTATAATGACATATTTGTCTTTTATATAGCAGCTACATTCATACAACCTACTTAACCTAGTTACTGAAATGAACCCATATTTAGAATTCATGCAATACATCAAGCCACAAAACTACTGAAATGGTTTGCACAACTCACTGAGACAACAAAAGACCCAATACAATTAATATCAATCAAGCTTGCCATATTGTGTGAATGCAGGCGCTGATTTTTTAAAGTCACCTGGTTAAACATGTTGGGTGATATAGCCAATATGTAATACGATGATAGCAACTATGTCAACTCCTACATCTTCTACACATAAAGCGTATAAGAAAAAGAAATATCTGAAATAATTTTATCAGAAATAAGAAGTTGAGCAGCGGTGAATTCAACAGAAGAGAAATTCCTTTTTTGCAGCTGTTAGGTGATGTGGTTCAGCAAATGGAAATGGTAAAAATAATATGTTTCTCATGAACTAAAACAAAAATGAACAGCTTGGTTGAAAGAATCACGTGATAACAAAGCAAACTCACTTTCCAGGATAGACGATCTCCCATCTGGAACCAACTCTCGAATAATCTGGCCATCATCCTCATTTTTGTCAAGCCATCTGGTTAGCAAATAAAATGTAAGTTATCTGCTATTATTGATCAAATATCAGGAGACTTATTATAATTCTGGGAGAGACAGTATATAGTGAAAGAAAAGCAGTGTGTTTAGAGGGATATTTTTATCAGAATCTAAAATAAAGAAACAGATTATTGGCATACCTTTAAAGGAGGTATCACATCTTACAAAATTCAGAAGTACAGCCTTTGAATTCCATTTTCTAATCAGTATTCTCTACTATTGGATGTAGGTTCATTAAAAACAAGAGAGGAAAAATTTGATTTGTAGCCAGTTAATGCCATAATGACTTGGACTCATTAAAAAGTCTAACATTTCTGCTATGGAAGGTTGAAAACTAGCTTAAATGTTCTAAAACATGCGTAACCATAAGGCCTTCAAGACCTGGTTATGTCCAAGGAACCAGAGACGTTTTTGGATGGCTTCATTACTGAGGTGGATATACTCACTCTCTCCATGCTTCGGGTTTGTATATTTTCCTTTTAATTTTAATATTTAATTTTTAACACAGTCTTTTTATATATTTATATGATTGTTTTTATATATGTGCTGTTTTTACTGGATTATTGTATGCCTCCCAGAGTCACCTTTGGTGAGATGGGCCGCCCTATAAATTTGATAAATAAATAAATAAAACACTTTTTTATCTAACTTCTACTACCTTGTCTTCCAGATACTCTTCTTTAATACAGGAAGTTAATTATATATGGAGTTTAAAACCTGTCATTGTTTCCTCCCACCCATCCCAATTTGTTTTATTTCTAGATTTTATAAAGAAGAAATCAAGGGAAAGAGTTCTTCATGTCAAGTTCAATCCTGTTGACTTCACAGACAACAGGCTAGATGATCATATCATTTACTTGGCATTAGAATGGAAATCATTTGTCATTGCCTTCTACTGATATTGACAGATAGATGATAGATACATTGCTCTTCCATAGTCCAGCCTTCAACTCTGTGATTTCTTGATGCTCTCCCAGACCAGACTCTGCTTAGCTTTTTTCAAGATCAGCCAGAGAATCAGTCTCAACTCAAGAAGGATTTTACTGTTACCTTAATGGAGAATTGCAAATATAAGCATACAGTAACATTTGAGGCAGGACATTAAAAGTAGATCACAAAATGGGTACTGTTTAAATCTCGTGTGTACTACTTTAAAAGAAGTAAGACACCTATTGTGACTGCTCTTCATAAACAATGAGTAATTGTGAGCAACAATTCATCAATGTAATATAATTTATTTTGATGAATGGTTTTGAATTTAGCATTTGAGGGCAGATAAAATTCTGGCGGACAGCGTCAGTCATCTTAACTGATTTTGCAAGTGTGTGTGTGTGTTTTTAAATTGATATTTGTTAATGTAAGCTGGTCATTTACAAAAGGCTTCCCAAGGAGTTATTTTGTTTTTCTTCTTAGGGAAGACTGATCTATTGGAAAGAGGAACTACATCATTGAAGAACACCTTTCAGAAGTGAAGAATTTTTTCTGCATACATTTCTTAAAGGTTACAAAGTGATAAAACACCATACAAGTTGAATTATTAGAGAGTGGAAATCCAAGAAATAATTCTGTCTTTGGTTTAATCAAACAAGGTGAATACTTAGAATATAAAGATGAAATTGACACTCAGATTATACAGGTGTCCTTGGTTATCTACAGAATTTTGGGAATAGAAAAAAGGTTTTATATCTATCAATCTATTTTTACAATGAATCACCTACCCCCAACAAGAAACCAAAATGTAGGAAACATTTCAGAATATTTGAACTGTATTTTAAGTTTCTTACTGTTCAAAAGAGCCCTAAAATTTAACTGGTGTCTCGCAGTGAAAGTTTTGTTTTACATAACAGATGTTCCAGAGAAATAGTATCTTCTATACTCACCTGAAAATTCTCTTGGGATCTAAAATGGTTAGCTGTTATCAACTTCTAGTGCCTTCACTTGAAGAGAGAGAGAGAGATGGAATAGGAAATGTATCCTTATTAAACTCATCCTCTTGCTACACTTACAAAGTGTTTCAGGATGCAAAGGAAAGAGGAGAATTGGGTTTGCCAGATTTGAAATTATATTTTGCAGCTTGTTGCTTGGTTTGGATGAAAGAATGGGTGTTGCTAAGAAGCAAACAATTTTTAGAGTTAGAAGAGCACAACCTGAGGTTTGCATGGCATGGATATTTATGGTACAATAAAGTGAAAGTTAATGTGGATTTTAAAAACCACTTTATTAGATGTGCCATACTGAGAATATGGAATAAATATGAATCCAGGCTGTGTCTGAAGAGACCTCTATGGATCTCAGCCCAAGAAGCATTTTACAGAAGAGACACAACAGACAAAGACAAATGGTTAACATACCAGGAATTACTGGAGAATCATCAAGGGGAATATAAAATTAAATCAAGGAAGCAACTAATGACCAAAGGATATAGTTGTCAATGGTTTTCCCATTTACAGCTATCAGAAAGATTTAAAATGGATAAAAAGACTTATGGTATGGAGCAAAGAAGACAGAATTTGAAGTGCAGTTGTATACAGATGATGAACATGTAATTGCTAAAATGTATAAACTTTTCTTGAAATTTGAAATGGAAGAAGAACAGATTAAAGAACGTATGATAAAATGGGCTAATAATTTTGGCTGTAATATACAGATAGATCAATGGGAAAATATGTGGTCAAAAGGACTGAAATTTATATTATGTTATGATCTTAAAGAGAATTTTTATAAAATGATGTATTGTTGGTATATGACACCAGAGAAATTATCTAGAATACATAAAGGCATTCCAAATGTATGTTGGAAATGTGAACAACATGGAGGGACATTGAGAAATTATCTAGAATACATAAAGGCATTCCAAATGTATGTTGGAAATGTGAACAACATGGAGGGACATTTATCATGCCTGGTGGACATATGGAAAAGCTAAAAAATTTTGGATTCAAATACACACATTGATACAGAGGATTTTAAAGATTAATATTCAGTTGAAGCCAGAACTTTTCCTTTTAGGACTGATAGATACACAGTTAGAAAAGAGTCATGGAAGATTATTTCAGTATATGATTACTGTGCCAAGACTATTATATGCACAGCACTACCCACCATGGAGGAATGGTTGGTGAAATTCACAAAACTTGCTGAGATGGCCAAACTGACTTCTTTGATTAGAGAAAGGTCATTATTGACATTCATCAATGACTGGAAACCCCTTATTTATTTTATTTATTTATGTATCAAATGTATATGGCCGCCCATCTTACAAAAAGGGCTCTGGGTGGCTTATAACCCTTTATGGACTTTTTGTGTAAAAAAGAAAATGATTTTGTGACTTATGGTTTTGATGATTAGAAAGAATGGGTTATAGGAAGAATGGAGTTATGATACAATCTTAGAGAGAGAGGTTTGGTTATAATTGTATGTATAACTGCTGAGAGGAAGACCGGAAGCCATTTCTTTATATTTCCTTTCATGTTTTCCGTTCTTTTATTTTCTCTTTTCTTTTCTTTTCTTTTC